CTAGAGAGCCTGTCTGCATGTGAACTATTCACTGACGGCTGCTGTGGGATAAATGTGGCATGAAACAATGTGAAGTTACAAATGGGAGACAGCGGGAACATTTTACACTAGCTGTATTGCTCCTGTACAAGCGGTCATAATTTATATGCGTGCATGAAGAGCACTCTCTACAGTGACAAAAACAGGAGTATACGAACACTCAGCAGTACATGGCCTTACATGCTTCTGTTCTCACTCAAAGCTGAAAATTTGTTTGCATGAGGCAGCTGGAGCTGTACAAAGGCTTCAAGTATGCAAACTGAAGCCTGGAAGCACCAATTCTGTCAAGAAAGAAATTTACACTTCTATTTCTTCCAGCTTGCTCCCCTTAACGGTTGCCACAATGGATCTCCAGCACACCCCGTCCCTAGCATCCTGTTCTGTTGCACCAACCCTCTACATGTCCTCCTGTGCTGCATCTGTGAATATTATCTGAGGTCTTCCTCTTTTTCTTCCCCCTGGGAGCGCCGTATTCACCATCCTTTGTCTAGTATTTCTCAACATTGCCTCTCTAACTTTGTGAGCAAACCTTCTTTTTTAAAAATGTTCCCTAATTTTGCCTCCCAAAAAAGCCCAAAGCAACGAAAAACCTTAAAAACACCTTAGTTTCACCTCATATTTATCACCATTGTTGCATGCTCAACCACTTGGTTTGTTTGCGCACCACCAGTTTGACCAGTCTCATCAATCAAATGTTCTAAACGGTGCACTGGGAGGAAAATTCACTCTCACTAAACATGAGTAACAATTTTAAATAAAATCAAACTGAAATAGATCAAATCAAATGTTTATTTATTGAAAAACCTCATCATTAAGGAAAAATGTGCTTGGTACAAATTGAATGCATGCGAACCAAAATGACCTCTTTAATGCAATACATTACATTATACTTATTTAACAGAATTACACTGAAAATTTACCTGTAATTAAATTAGTTAGAGTTAGAATTTTGGCCAAATAAATCTTTTTTGAATGTAATTGTTTGACCTCGTATTCATTTTGAGCTGAAGTCTTTTCACATCATTAAGGCTGTTTAACTGAAGTAATTAAGAAAGTCAGCAATAGATGATTCATGCAGCTTCCACGCTCATCAAGCGAGCAGAGACATTTTTACCTCCTATAAGGTGATTTGTCGTCTTCACTAGAGACTTGACAAGAGTGCTAAATCACTCTGGACCGGGTTAGATAACTGCAGCATTTTAGTTTGCAGACCCCCGAATGACCTCAATCTAGTGCGAATGACTAAATGGGGTCTGAGTGATAGAAAGTGTGTTAAGGCTCTGCTGAAGGAAAGAACAGAAGTCGTGTGTGCTTCTTGTCTCCGAGTGGCTCTGTAGTAGATTTAGATTTTTTTAAACTACTAGTTTAATGATGGTGTCTGTACAGCTCACTGTCAAATCCAGGTTAGAAAACCTCTCCACACAAAGGTAACAAGCACTCCCGTCAAACTTCACAGTGGCCTCTCTAAAACTGAATTTTGCACATTCTGCATGATAACCTTCTTTCTACGAGTCCTACCATGCCTGAAATTGCTTCAATCAAAATTCCAATCATCCATTCAATCAATTCACTGAGAATGAACTGAACAAATGGAGATTTTTCTTCTTTTTTTTTAACTGTAACGTGGCTGAATAGAAATATATGGAGAAGGGTTTGAAGTGAAAATTCAAATGAGTCTTGTCTACAGTGTATCCCTTATAGATCCATTTAACTGGAAAAGGTCAAGTCTTCCTTTTCCAGTCCCTCCAGGTGAAGTGCAATTTAAAAAGCTTCTACCTCCTAGGCTCTCGGACAAAAGATCAGTTTACCCAGTCTGCTGCATGTTTAAAAGCTTGAGCTAAAGACAAAGAACTGCCGTCACCACCAACAGCAACAGAATCAGAAGCACTGATTCTGCTCTGCTTCGATTAATGACAATCTAAAGAACGCTCGCTTTGTTTGAGTTGGACAAAAAGAAAAACACAAAATTTGAAGCACTGAGTGATACGGTCATCCCAAAGCTAATGTGTGTTCATTCTCACTTAGGGTAAAGTAAGGGGCTCTTTTAGACACGGCGAGCAGGGGCGGGCGATAACAAAAATTCTGATGTGCGTCGTCAAGGGGATATTACAATACCCATTCAATGTGCTTGTGAGCAGCATTAACATATTCATGCAGTTTTCCTTATCGTAGCCAGCCGCTCTTCCTCCTCTCTTTCTTTAATCTGACCTCGCTTTATAATTATTTTTAAATAGTGTCACAGTTCCATGATTAAGGTTTAAGCTGCAACACAGCAAACTCTGTCAACACGTCACCTAAAAGTGCCTTTTCTTCTATTTGGAGACTTGGCAGTCAGCTATGATTTAGCATGCTGCAACATGAATGTAAATGTCAAATATATTTTCCTAAATCGGATAAAATGCAATAAATAAATTGATTTGACTGTTTTACAAGCAGATATTCTTGAATCTGAATGTGACACATATACAATACATATGTAACACACGTTTATAGAATTGACCAAGTGCAGCACTGTGGGCGATCCTCCTTTTACTGTTCAAAGTCTTCTACATAACTCATATAATCAATACTTTAAAAGGACAATACAGGAAATGAAAACGTGTTTTCAAAAATAAAACAGATTCAAATACATTACGAGATTCTCTGACCTGCCATAGTTGAAATGCCGAGAACCACGCCGATTGATAACTCAATCTGTGTGCCCTGGAAAAAAACAAGAGAACAGAAGCTCATTTGTACAAAGAAGAAAGCTCAGTGCAAGCTGTTGTGTGCATCTCTTTGCAATAAGGAACTCAAGCCAGGATGCCAAGCACCTGTGTAATTTTGGAGTTAAATCACCTTCCTTTAGCATCTATGTCACTATTTCTGCTTCAAACGTGTGAGGTTCTGGCTGGACCGGAATTTCAATTTTCATCAATTTATCACAGTTAATAACCGTGTCGTCACAAAAAGGGTCACACATAATTGCCAACTTGACTCCATTCAATCATAAACTGATAGCAGAATGACTACGATTAAATTTTTAATGCACAAAAGCTGCTTTGCATGCAGCAACTGACAGCGAGTGGTTGCAGACCTGGTTCCTCGTCTTCGAAGCAGCCATGTCAAAAGCAACGAGACCACCTTGAATCACTCACAAAGCTCCTAATCTCAACAAAGTACTATTTGTAAAACTTAATCTATACTTAGTACAACCTTTAAATGCATTTTTTGCAGTCTTTCAGGTTGCATTAGCTACCTCCAGAGACTGAGAGAATAAAGTGCTAGTGGCTACCTTTATATTCCCCGCCCTGACTAAGCAGATGGGAGTGCATCCCCCATGAAGCAGACACTTACAGCAACAATCATGATGCAGTTGTCCAGGAATCCAAATCCAACGAATGGGAGTGCATTGTGCAGCAGAACTGTAAAGCAAGCAAACACAACAAATCACTGTCAGACACATTATAATGTGATTCAGCATGGATAGACAACAACGCATCACACATTTAGAAGAGAAATGGGAACATTAGACACAAAATGCCTCTGAAACCATAAGCAGCTGTAAATCAGTATCAGGCAGTGATGCATTAGTGCATGCTCATTAATGTGGTACGGGGGTAAGTCGTTCCGTCTTATTTCTTTAGCACTGCCGCTGGTAAAATGCAGACAGCTACGAAGCCAGCGGGTGAACACAAGACTCTTGATAAGGTGGAATGGATTTTTAAAACAGGAAAGAGTAAATAGCATCATAAATATCAAGAAAATCCACTTGCAGCAGGGGTGCGTGGATACTATAGACAGTCTGATGTACCGATGGTGCTATCAAAGTGAATTTTAAAAGGTCATCCACCGCCCCGGCAAAGTATATTCAAGCTTAAGTTCAAGTGAAGTTCAGTTTATTTAAGTGACAAATCTGCAGGAAAGTTTGAAGCGTAATCGCCACGATGCGACTGTGTTCTCTACGGATCTCGTAGCGCTGCAGCTCTCCTTCAGGACGCTGTGAGAACTTTCAATCCTGCTGCTCCTCAACACGATAAACACAGACACACTCAACACTTAAACACAGACGTGCATGCTGAAACGGAACAAAGAGAGCACTCAGAGAATTCTCGGTGTTGGGTTTGAGTGATTCCCTACGGAAACAAACTGGAGCTCGAGTGTGAAATTTAACAGCAGTTAGTGAGGTCAGTCGGGAAATCTCAACATTTGGTAAATGATTTGCCTCTTTATTTCTCAAATGTGTTTTCACATCCTTGATGCGTCACATTTTTGTTCTTAACTCAGAAAAATGATTTAAGAGTGAAGCTCACTTTAGAGATTTAAAAGCAGTGAACGCCACGATGCTCTGAATTTGAATTTCACAGCAAGGGCCAGTTATCTTAACTGGACTCGGCTGTCTCAGGATCCCATTCTGCACACTTTGAGTTTAACCCAATATTAAAAAATGACTCCTCTGGCCATGTTAGCTCTAATTATAACAGCCATCTGGGGACATTTTTCCCTGTTGGTGGGGAAATTTCAATTAGGAGATTTGAGGAAATCACGACTGCTCGTCCTTAGTTTTCCTTTTTGTGACTTGATATGAACTTTCCTCTAGTATCAGCTCAAAGTTTGCTTCCCACAGGCAAAGGTCTGGACTGTTTTATCTGGGCTCCTCTAATGTTTTCCTGGGAACATCACAGCTAGCCTACAAGAAAGAAAAACTCTGAGCTCGCCAAAGTGAATATTTGAGATGTCGCAGGCATTTTTTTTGAAGCTTCATTCCTCAGGTGGACTTCCATCCACCGCAGCTTTCACAAGTTTTCATCCCTGAGATGGATGCAGTGGGGTTTTTTTTCATAATCTTGTGCGACACCACAGTGACAACAGGCTGAGTCAGTGTTTCACTTGAAGTTGGTCTCTTCTGTGTCAGCTCAAAAAGACAAATGCTCGACTCCAGAGGAGACTAAATATTTCCCACACAAAGCGGCTGTTGTGACAAAGATCTGTTTTTGTTAAATATAAGACAGACGAGGAGGAGAAGCTTCCAAACCTTTAAAGTGAAGAGAGAAAGCTGAGCTCATGAGATCACCAACAGAGAGAAAAATGCCCACACAGCCTTTGCAGTTGGATTACATCCTTTCTTTGTTAGCACAATGAGAAAACCCCCACTCAGCTTTATGCTGAAGCTTTTCTGGCTGGTCCCTTTTAATCTTGCAGTTTTATATACCAATTCAGGTTTATTTCATTTAATTTTTCTTCCATTTCTCTGTGTTTTACATTATTTTGACTTCAAAAGAAATGGATGCTTCAAATGTTTTCTAATACAAACCCTCATGTTGGGAAGTGCTGACTGGTTTACACAAGATGATCCAGGATGTAATAACGGACAACTGTACAAACAGAAAACATGTCTCCTTATACAAATTCACCATCCACCCACATATCCATCCGCTTAACCCCCGTGTCTTTTCCAGCTGTTATTGGAGGCCAGGTAGATATGAAACCAGGACTTCCTTGTTGTGAAGTAAAATGGCAAATGGCCTGTATTTGTATAGTGCTTTACTTAGTCCTTAAGGACCCCAAAGCGCTTTACATTACATTTAATCACCCATTTATTCACACACTGGTGATGGCAAGCTACATTGTAGCCACAGCTGCCCTGGGGCGCACTGACAGAGGCGAGGCTGCCGGACACTGGCGCCACCGGGTCCTCTGACCACCACCAGTAGGCATCGGGTGAAGTGTCTTGCCCAAGACTGCCCAAGACGACCAAGACTGTTGGAGCCGGGGCTCGAACCAGCAACCCTCCGATTACAAGACAAACTGCCAAGTCTTGAGCCACCGTGAAGCAAGAGTGCTAACCACTGCACACGTGCATAATAAAATAACACCTTTAAAATCTACTTTTAGCTGCATACATAATTTAATGGGTTGTCACAGGCTACTAATATTAAGTGTGCTTTCTTAAGCACATTAGTAGAAAGAAGCACTGATAAAGGGTAGATGTCAGATTACGGATGAAATAGCTCATCCATTTTTTACCCCTACCCTTCATTTTTCCAAAAACGTTCTATACAAGTCAGAAATCCTGTTATATTTTCTATTATCATATATTAGGGAAAGTCTGAATTAAAAAACGCTTCAAAGAAATTGAACAAGGCACAAATGGACTTAGGACTACGTGCAACAAGTAGTGTTCTCCATGTTTAAGCAGATTGTCGTTCCGGATATTTTTTTCAGAGCATAATATTATGATGTACAACTTCACACATTTGCTGTGGCAATGTTTATTATAGTGAGCCATTACATTAGTAAGAACTAAAGTAGATTTAAATATCAGTAATATTGTATATGAACAGCTACATACTAAAGTTACAGTGTGCAAAATCTCACCACTAGAGGTCAGTAGATTCCAAATTGCATTCAATTTTTTTTTTTGGTTTTTTTTGTGTTTGTTTTTTTACCACTCCCAATTCAAGTGCATAATTCTAGCTATTGTGGCCAATGTAGGACAAACAACTCTGGCCGTTGTTCATCTCTTGTGAGTGTAGGCCAGGGGTGTCCAAGTCCGGGCCTCGAGGGCCGGTGTCCTGCAGGTTATAGATGTGTCCTTGATCCAACACAGCTGATTTAAATGGGAAAGTTACCTCCTCAACATGTCTTGAAGTTCTCCAGAGGCCTGGTAATAATTTGATTCAGTGGTGTTGACCCAGAGTGATATCTAAAACCTGCAGTATACGGCCCTTGAGGCCTGGAGTTGAGCACCCCTGGTGCAGGCTGTCAGTCCACTGTTTACCTCAGCTGGTCTCCATGACTGTTTACTTCAGAGGCTGCAAAACTTGTGAAAGGAATCAGATACAAACTGAAGAGAAGCTCACTTCTAAACATTGACAGTGATCTTGAGGTGAATTGTTTAGGGAATCCTGAACCTTTCTGTCAGTAAAGGCTGCTGCTTTTGCTGCTGTTAGCTGGCATTCATGAAGCTTTCTTTGAGTGGATCGAACATTGTTGGACTCTGAGACTCACTGAATAAACTCTCATATGATATGAAAATGCAATCAAACTGTTTATCACAGCCTAATATTAGCTGGCTTAATGTTAGCTCATAACCAGCTGTTGTTGGTGCATGTTAATGCACGTCCTCGTGTGTTAGAGCTCAGACATCAGATCAGCAGGTGACACTTGAGGTGAGAAGGAAGAAGACGTAGTTTTATCAAGTCGCGTTGTCTCTTTCCTTCTTGTTTTAACTTCTTTGGTAAAGTTCTCAGATAATAAAGCATAGATACTCATATCCTGAGTCTGACACTCTGCACGGGAATGCCTACGAGTTTTCTTCTTCTCCACCTCTGGTGTACTATGCATGTGGCCGCTCTGCAGCCACATTCATAAAACACTATTACGCTGAATAACAAGGAATTCAATTGCAAACCTGCTCCTATCTAATTTTATTTATTAATTCTAAGTTTACACATAAATTCAATCCACCAATTTGTTGTTTTTTCTCTTATATAACCTCAAAAAACCACTGATTTTACATTTAAGTCATTATGACCTCAGACTCAGAGACTTTTTTACTCCTTATTAGATTCAATTTGGATCCATTAGGTCCATAAACAGGGGTTTTTCCTTTCCTTTGGACAATTCACGGAAACAACACATTCACAATGAGCCATTAATTAAACTGGTCCTAATTAACTTTCCTAAACTGACTGACTGTTAAATGAGGCATGTCCTAAAAGATTAGTGAGCAATTTTACTCATCTTGTAAAATGAAAAGGATAAAATATACAGAGACACATTGAGGAGTAAATATATCTGCCAAGAACAAAAGGACCTCTTACCATATCTTAACTGTGCTGCAGTGGGTGGTGCAATTTCCAGCTGTCCTGGAAAAAGAAGAAAACAAATATTAAAGAAAAACATTTCTATTGAGGAGAACGGTCAGCATAATTGAGAGACACTTCATAGATGGCAAAACATAAAAGCAGAGAAAAAGAAGAAGGAAGGCATGCAAGAAACATGACATGAGAGGAGCGAAGAGAAAAGAAACCACACCTCCCTCGACTGAACAAATATATATGGATTTGTGGATATAGACTCACAGTAAAACACAGTCTTACAGGCCTACATGCCTGCATACACATATTAAATGGACAAAAATGATGGGAGACAGATTAAAGAAAAAGCTAACCTATTAAAAATAGCTTTTAGCAGTTATAACAAACCACAGATAGGCTGATGAAGGTCACTTCAAAGTTTAGAAGCTACAACCTCAAAACTGTGATCACCTCTAGTTTCAAAATAAGAGCACAAAAGGGTTTAAAAGACTCAGATAACATGATCGGAGACGCCAACGATTAGAATAAGGTCTCTATATAACTCTGCTATATGTAGGCCATGCAGGACTTCATATGTTATTTATAACGTTAAAAGTGGATTATGAATTTCTCTGGAAGCTTGTGAAGGGAAGTGAGAAAAGAGGTGATGTGTGAGCACCAGCTGGTTTTCTTAGTAGCCTGGCTGCTTCCAAAATAAGGGTTAAAGTGATGTTGAAATATAATAACTGTTGCCAAACAAGCTTATCGGGAGACTCGCCATCATACTGATTAGCGTGAATGCACGTGGCGCCAAACAATTAGAGCCGAGACCCAAAGATTCAAATATCTGACACACACAACATACAAATACAAAGTTTACTGAGATTTCATTAAACTTTGATACTGCGACAGCACAGCTGAACTGAAACTGAAGTTAATGGGATGCAACCTCTATCTGCGAGCCTGGATTGTAGAGTAAAATTACTGTCAGACTATATGCCACATTTACTCAACAGCCACTGAACTGTGATGCAGCACAATGACCTGCTGTAGAGAAATAGATAATTAAATTGGTTCTAAGGCTAAAGACACAAGACAAGAGGACTTCTTCTGCAGGTCCAGTGAAATTGGATTTATTGCCATGAGATCAGTGGAAATGTTAGTCCACATAATGAAGTCTGCTCTGTCATTTCCAGGTGTTATTGCACCACTGCAGGGTAAACCAGGCTGGAAAGGTTTGGATTATTAGTAGTGAAGGTGATTAAACTCCAAACAAACATACTCCTTCATTCCCTCCTTGGACCTTGGAGAAAACTATTAACTTTTGTTTTTACTTAATTAGAACAAAAAAAAAGTTTGAGCACAATTTAATAATTTTCAGTCACTTAATGGATTTATTTATGTTACAGTTAAGTTTAGAAGTTTAAAAACGGAACCCAGTCGATCACAGAATGAACGGGAAACTAAAGATAGCTTTCTGCCTTCTTTCCTCCACCCTGTGTGCCTCCCCCACACCCACTGCCACCCATGTTCAGTGTGACATTATGAGCTCTACAGTCTTCAGTTCAACTCCCGGCTCATGCAGCTCACAACAGATGTTCATCAGCAAAGTGCATACACAGACACACACTGACCTGTCAATGCTTCTAGTTTGTGTATAAAGAAATATTATTATCCCATTTTCCAAGTTTCTGGACAATTATGTTGCTTCCACAGGCATCAACCATCCAACTACAAGAGATGGAGCTCTTATCCACATGGATGGTTTACTTCCTTCCAGAAACCATTTGTTTCCATTTATTGCTCATCCAGGGGCTGCTTCAGGATTTAATTGAAGAGCTTTCAATGATCATCAACATCAGTGAGGCAGTAACCATTAAACCTTCTTGGTGCACAGTTATCCTCACCTGCCTTACAACACTAACATTTGTTAGAAAATGGAACTTTTCAGTAAAGAAAGATGCATCAGTGTTTTAACGATATTCCCCCACTTTTTCATATTTCAAAGCAGTGTTTAACACCACCCTAAAACTATCTGCTCCCTGGTGAATACCCACCAGCGTCAGATGGATGAATTGCACATAAATCAAAGTGGTGAAGGTCAGCTGAATCAGTCCTCAGCTGACGCCGGTGCAGTGTCAGGTCATGTGATGTGAAGGGCTCATACTGCTCATTTAGCATGGCTCTGTCTCAGCCTTCCTTCCGTTGGCTGCTTTATTTGTAACATCTCAAAACTTAAAAAAAATCTAAATAAAATAAAAAATCTAATGAATCGATTTCCTTCCACGCAGAGACTGATCTTCAGGATATTTGGATAAAGACTTGAAACATTTATTATCTCTCTGTTTTTTTTTTTTTTTTTAAGTTTGTGCATGTAGAATTATTTAATAGCTTTAAATATTATACCCAAGCAAAAAGAGGGACTGATTCAAGGATTTGTCTTATATTCAGAAATGGGGGCAACCGATCC